CACACATACACATCCCAAACACATACACATACCACACACACACAGCATACCACACACACACTATACACATGCACACCACACGCACACATGTACATCCCAGACACATACACATACCACACACACTAGTGCACACACACACACACTCACACCAACATTTCTCTAATTCAAATCCACCACTAAAGGGGTTCCTCCTAGTTTCCTCCCCTTCCATATTTGCAACTCCTTTTTCCAACAGTGAAAAGCCTAGTCCCATTATCCTTAGTGTATTTATTAATTTGATCAACCCCCCGATGTAACCTTCACCACACTTCCCAACCCCCGAGAGGACTATCCTCACCCTACTTGGGCTTGGACACCCTCACACTGGGCCACCCTGACTGTGGACACCCTCGTCACCCCGTTGGGCCAACCCCACCCAGGCCAACTCCCAGACATTTGGGCTCTGACTTTCCGTGCCGGGCTGTCCCCTGCAGGGACCTCTCCTCACCAAGCCTGACCCTGCCACCTGTGCTCCACTCACCCCCCATGGGGACAGCCCCTGGAACCTGCCCCCCTCACCCTGTTCAGGCTCATCACCCCACATAGGGCCAGCCCCACCTGTTGGCTGCAGGTTTGAGCTGTTCTGGAAGGGAAGCAAGAGGCAGGGCAGGGCTGAAAGAGGGCACAGTGCATTTCGCGATCATCGACTCTGGGCTGGACACTTCTGTGCCTGTGAGGTGTCTCAGCGAATCCTGACAACAACCCTGTGAAGCGGGAACTGTTGTTATCCCCACTGACAGATGAGAAAACTGAGGGGTGAAGGGACTTCCTTGCCCAGAGTCGTGCAGCTGTGGTGGCAGGTCCCTCTTGCTCTGAAGCTGCCGTTCTGAACCATGAAGCAATGATTCCCTCCCCGCTCCATGAAACTAAAAGCATTGATAACTGGAGAGTAACAGATTCGATGTTTGATGAGCCCTAATCAAGCTTTATGATTACAAACGACAAACACATGATCAAAACCACTTTTAAGAATTGAACAACAACAACAAAATGATCAGTTTCTTCACCTTCTAAGATAACCAGGAGGTTTGAAGTGTCGGTCACTTGTTGAGCTGTAAACCCAATTTCCATCCTTGGGTCTAGTTTCTAGAAAATTCACTGGGAAACAGTTTCTAAATGTGATCAGCCAGAAGGGCAGAGACAAACCCTAAGAGAGAGCCCTATCTCCCTTCCCCCTGGCTGGTGCTCAGTCTTTAGGAGAAATAGGGATTGAATAGTGAGAGCTGCTGTGTTCAGCAGCTTGTAGGCACACCTCATCGCCTTCTCAGTAGGAGAAGCCCTTTCTGGACAACCCGCAGGTGGACTTTTGGCTCTGCCCCTATTAATGTCATTATGGTTCTGGATGCCTCAGAAGTCATTTCTAGAGTCAGCATCACCTGAGGAAGTACAGTTAGAAAGAGCATGAGCTGGGGGTTGAAACAGCCCGACATGAACCCGCCCTCGGCTGGCTGTGCAAACTTTAGGCAAGGTCTTTACTTCTGTGAGGCTGCTTCCCCTACCGATAACAGAAATGACTGGTGTTTCCCTCACAGGGTTGTTGTGCAGGGTCATTGTCTGTTACTAACATTCACCAGTTCATCATCAGCAATAATCACTGTCAACAATAATAGTTGCAAGAGTCTCTCTCTCTCTCTCTTTTTTTTTTTTTTTTGTGAGGAAGATTAGCCCTGAGCTAACATTTGTCACCAATCCTCCCCCTTTTTGCTGAGGAAGATCAGCCCTGAGCTAACATCCATGCCAATCCTCCTCTTTTTGCTGAGGAAGATTGGCCCTGGGCTGACATCTGTGCCGATTTTCCTCTACTTTATATGGGACGCCGCCAGAGCATGGCCTGACAGGCCTTGCTTGGGTATGCACGCCCGGGATCCAAATATCTGAACCCCAGGCCGCCCCAGCAGAGTGAACGCACTTAACCATTATGCCACGGGGCCGGCCCCACAAGAGTCTCTCTTCAAGCTAAAATGGAGCCAAGCGTTTTTATCAAGGGAAAATATTTTCTTATCGAAATGTTCCTAAACTGGAATGTTTAAAAGAAGAAAGGAAGAAACGGCCCTCTTGGGAGACCCTCACCCAGGGCTGAGGCATTCTGGCATCCTTTTATAAGGAGGATGCTCAGAGATGTTGCTTACCATCCTCAGGGAGATCAGCATTTGGGAGTAAAGAAACACACGTCCAACACAGGCCCACACCTCGGCATTTACAATTCACTACAGACCTGGACAGGCAGAGACCACTCCTGGATTCCTTGTGGGGGTGGGGGTAGATGTTTTCTATTTTGACCATTTGCAAAAGCCAAATATCTTTATATCCAAACGATTTTCTATTGCTTTAACAATTACGTTGAATTTTGAACACTATAATGAATCAAAATTGAGTAACTTCTCAGCTCTGATTAACCCTCATTGATTCAGGTTTGGTTGTTCTTGCTCTAGAAAAAATCCCATGAAGAGCCCCAGCAGAAGGTCTTTCCTCTGGCAGCACGACACCACCTCAGACTGAGCCAGGGGAGCAGCATCACATCCTCGGACTTTGATGAGCTGCTCCTGTGCAGGGAGGAGCCCTCTGCAGAGGAGCCAGGTACCACGGCACTCACAGAGGCTGGCCTATCCATGGGATGAGCCACTTCACATCCCCTTCTGTGCGAGGGATGCCAGTCATTCACTGCCAGTTACCTTGTTTCCTATTTGGCTGTGAGCCTAAAGATAAAATAAGATTAATAGATATGGATAACATTTATGGAGCACTTACTCTGTTTTATCTTATTTAATCCTTACACTAACTCGATGGGTAGGAACCATTCTCCATTTTACATAGACCCTAGGAGTTGTTAAGTAACCTATCCAAGTAAGTGGCAGAACCAGGCCTTGAGACCTGATGATGCCCCAACCCACAGACCCTGACCGCCACTTCTCACTGCCTCCTGGTCTCAGAGAGGAGCTCAGCAACACCACCCCCAACATGCATCTGTTTGCTGAGTTTCAAAGGCTTTCCCAGCACAGCCCTGTCTTCACTTGGCTTCAGCATCCCAGTGTTGTGTACATGGAAAAGCAGATAGGGACGTTTCTTATTCCATATGATACAAGTGCATGGGTGGTGCAACTAACAAAGCCTTGTCACTCACAGGCAACATGAAGCCAGCACAGGTCTACCTGAGTTCAAAACAGAACAGGATCTCTCCAGCTCAGGGGACAGAAAAGCTGAAACTAGAGCCTCACCAATATTTCATTTCTTTCAATCTTGTCAGCTGTTTCCCATTTAAAAAAAAAACAGTCTAGTCTATCCGTAAGAAGCCACCTTTCTATTCACTATCTAGGTATAAAAAAGGACCTACAAAACGTATTTCCCTCTTGTCTTTAAAATGTGATCATGAAAAGAAGACTGCTGAACGCTAACCACTGCATGCTTTTTCTTCTTCTTTTCCATCATGTTGCATGAGGTTGGAAACCAGCCTTGCCTGACGACTCCCCCCAGGGGCATTGTTAACCACACTATTAACTCCTCAATGATGTTTGCTGCCCCCCAGTCATCTTCCCAGAGGAGTCTGAGGCCCACCCCACCGAAGGAGCCCCACCCACGTTCCTGGACAGGATCCAGCAGTTAAGCATGGCCGAGGAAGGGGCTATGGAGAGAATGGAGTCCAAGGGGAGTGATGAGGCTGAAGATGACGCATCCCAACTGGTGGTTTTGGACCCAGACCACGTAAGAAAATATCCCTAGGTTTTGCTTCTGTCCTACACGTGTTAAGAATGACTTAGAGATACTCCTTCAGCTGCACGGAGGCCCTCCTCTGCCCTGCGCCTTCATGGCCCCCTCCCCACCCCTCAAACGCCATGCCCCCATCTCACCTGTTCACTGAACAGTTTATCTGCATGGTTTGGGCCTGCTGCTTTGTAAAGTGTGCTCTTCTTTTAGATGCATACGCCCAAAGTCAGGGTTTCTCAACCTCAGCACTGCTGACACTCTCTGTGGTGGGGGCTGTGGTGGGCACTGGGGGATGTTGAGCAGCATCCCTGGCCTCCACCCACTAAATGCCAGTAGCACCCTCCCTTAGTTGTGACAGCCAGAAACGTCACCAGACATTCCTGGATGTTGGGTACTGGCAAAATCAGTCCCACTAAGAGCCTCTGCCTTGAGTGTACCACCCAGGTTATGAGTCCCTTGGTCCCACCCCTCTGGCAAGCACGGAAGCAAATCTTGATTGGATGGACCCATTTGGAAAGCCGAGGTGCTCCCGGTACTGCGGGAAGGGAAGGGTCAGGGGGTGCACTGGGCAAAAGGGCTGGGCGCTCATTTGCTGCTGGCATCCCAGGTGCTACTCATCACCCCCCCCCCTCCCGCCCCGGAAGTTAAACTACCACCACTGCCCCAGCTAACCCTGTCATTGTGCCAGAATGTGCACTCGGGGCTCCAGTGCCTTTAATTTGTGGCGTCTAGAGTAAGAGTCCGGGCAAAAGTGGGGAGCATCCCGCACGGGAGTCATTTCTGGCCCACGAGGGAGAGCTGGGGTGACTTAGGCTAGGCCCTGGATGGGACAGGAGAGTGACTGGGGGTGCTTTTTCATTGTTTTAGCCCCTGATGATAAGATTCCAGGCTGCCCTGAAGAACTATCTTAACCGACAGATAGAAAAATTGAAACTGGAACTTCAAGAGCTGGTGAGTTACCGGTCCAGCCTTCCGCCAGGTGCGTGCCTACACCTCGTGACCCAGTTTCTCTGTCTGGTGCAGGGCGCGGCCACCAAGCAAAGCCGAGTCCAGCGGCAGGAGCTGGGGGTGGAGCTCTACGGGGTCCAGCAGCACCTGGCCCGCCTGCAGATGCACCTCGAGAAGAGCCACGACCGCCACTCGCTCGCCGCGTGTGCGAGGCGGCAGAAGGAGGAGGCGCTGCGGGGCGTGCGGTCGCTCTACGCCAAGACCTGCGCGGCTGCCAACGAGGAGCGCAAAAAGCGTAAGGCGGCCCCGCGCCCCGCGAGCCATCGCGAGCCATCGCGACCCGGTGGGATGTCCCCGCGTGCCATCGCAGGGCACTGAGAAAAGCAAGATGTGTTCGTGTCCTGGGGGTTTCCCAGCCTTCCTAGGGAGAGAAAGCATAAAAATGTCTTAAAAGACACCTAATTAGGCAAGGCAGCAAACGCTGAAACTGAGGGTACACAGAGTCAGGGTACACAGGGTCAACAGCAGAAGAGGCCGGTGGGCTGCGGGGGGTCTCGAGGCTGGCAGGTCCAGAAGGCGAGGGAAGGGCAGAGCGGGCAGGGTTTACATAAGTGGGACGGATAGGTGAGGCCTGTCTGAAGGGCAAGGACTGGAGCGAGCTGGGGGCCCGTGGCCCGGGAGCCGGGCAGCCTGGGGCTGTGCGCAGGTTAGGGGCACCCAGGTGGCTTTGGGCCAGATGAGACAGTGGAGCTATGACGCATCACATGCACCCTTACTACTGAAGCAACACCCCCACGCACAGGGCAGAGGTCGCAGGTCACAGTGAACAGTGGCTTCCCATGTGCTGCGGATTATTTTAGTCTTTATACTTTTTTACATTTCCAACTTTCTTTGTCAACTCTGTCTTACTGTTATAACGGGGGAACTCACCTAAAGGAATTGGGAAGAAAACAGAATCACACATATATCCGGACTGTGGCTGGAAAGAAACATTTTGGACCTTGAGAAATGCAGGAGAGGTTTCCAGATTGACAGAGTCCGGGTAGGTGCTCACTTATCAAGCACCCCTCCCCCATTACCACCAAATTAACAGAAAATACCCAAAAGAGAAGGACACAACATTCACAACAAAACAATAAAGAGCCCATCCTCCAGATGTAACAGAATGTAGACCAACTTGAAAGAGGACACAGGCCACGTGCGCGTGCACACGCGCGTGCGCGCGCGCACACACACACACACACAAAAGCAGTGAGTGCCCACTAGCGCTCCTCAGCAGAGGCTCAAAGTGTGATGGGCTTCTGGAAAGATCTGAACATATTCGTGGACTTTGTGTCCTTTCTGGAGGTCACCAGGGAGCAGGAGCAGAAGCTGTCCAGCCAAGCAAGGATTCCATCTAATGGCACCTTCTCAGCACAAACGGATGCAGGAGATGGTCCCAGCCCTGCCATGGTGCTGCCACTGCACTGCCCCTTAGGGGAAACGTGGGGATCTGCCGCTAGAGAATGTCCACGGTTGCCCGGCTCACCTGGGAGGGAGGTGAAGCCCACCTGTCACTAAACCTTCGCATCGAAATGTGAGTCATCAGTGGCCATCTCCAGACTCGAGAGGAGACTGCCTGGACGGACAGAGCAGACATCTCCAGACGCAGGCCTGATTGCAAAAAGAGAGGAGTGCACGAGCGTGCACCAGTTGATGTTCTGCAGGAGATTCCAAAGGACATCACGTCAGTCAAGTGAGAGCACAGGGTTAGGGAAAAGGGTACTTGGAATTCAAAATAATAATCATCCTCCCAAAAAAAAGGCACTAAATAGACAAATCAATACTGCTGAAAATTGAACTTGTGAACTGAGAGGCCAATTTGAGGAATTTTCCGCAGAATTCAGAGCAAAAACCCAAAGCAATGGACATTTTCAGAAGGAGATAAAAGACCTGGACGATAAATCTGGGAAAGTCAATATCCATAAAATAAAAATTCCAGGAGATTAGGGGCATTAACCAATGACATCAGAGGAAAACATTTGCTTGAGTTCAAGAGAGATGAATCTTCAGACATAAAGACTCACAGAAGGCCAGACAGCGGAGGAAGAAATAAACATGCCTAGACACAGCTGGTGAAATTTTTAAATTCCAAAGGTACAGGAAAAAATGATACAGGCTTATAGGCAGGACAAAACCAGATTCCAGCAGGAGGAGAGCGGCCGACTAGCAAGGGTAGCCCTTTAGTCGTGGTCTCAACCCGCTGCCCCTCGCAGGGACCCAGGGAGAGCCCAAAGCCCCTGGGACCCCACCCAGCCCAGATTTCCGACTCATTTGTTGTGGGAAGGGCCAGGCATCATTTGTTTTCTTTCTCTCTTTCTCTCTTTCTCTCTCTCTCTCTCTGCCCCGCTCCCTCTGCCTCTCCCCCTCTCTCCCTCTCCCCCTCTCTCCCTCTCCCCCTCTCTCCCT